TTGTGACCCAATTTAAATGTGCAATACAAATATTTGGAACTAATTTTTAAAATTAAAAAGTGGAATAGAAGGTTGGAAAAAAAATCCATATCTTATCTGTATTTTTAAAAATATACATGTAACACATTGTGATACAAATCTAGTAAAAGTTATTTTAAAATTTACAATATTCTGGCACATATCTAATCACACAATGCTGGTCTCAAAAGACCTGGCAAGACTGGTATTGAATTTGTCATGTGATTCTAGGGAAGCATCTCTTCCTCCTAGAATTTGGCCTCCCAATCTGTGTGAATTCAGTGAATCAGATGACTCTTGCTGACAACTCTGCCTAAGGAACTCAGTGCTCACCTCTGAATCTGACTTTCTCTTCCTTATGGGCAATGACTTACTGACACTATACTCTGGAGAGGGAAACTGCTCAAGAGGTCAATAAAGACTACTTTCACATAAAGGGTACTGATATGGTTTCGCTGTGTCCCAACCCAAATCTCATGAACTATAGCTCCCATAATCCCCACATGTCAGCCCCCTGTGTAAGAGTGGCTCAATCCTCCCACAAATCTCTCAACCACAGCCCAAATTCCATGACAAATTCTTCCTAGCACCTTCTTAAGTGAGACACCCCACGATTCCCCAATGTATGTGTTCTCCCTCGCTGCAACAAGTGATACAGCCAATTTGTTCAACTGTAAGTGGGTTCCTGGTGGTTTTTAGCTGGACCATTGATAGTAGTAGATATTCAAAACTTCTATTGCTATTATTAGAATTTTTAAAAAAGTATTATTGTTGTTGTTATTCATCAAGTAGGCCTAGCATATAAGGTGCATCTCTGAGGAAGTAGCTGAGATACCCATAAGAAAGCAGACTTGGAATAGGTTGCAAAAGGCCTTTTGCTTCACGGAACAGTGTGAGTTGATTCACTTACACACATACATACACACACATCTCCAAAGAGATGCTGACAAGTCTTTAGAAGGCTCCTTTGCAAAGGCAGAGAATGTGCCTGTCTTATTCACAGCTAAATCTATAGCACTCCAAAAGAAGGCAGATCAGGTCACATAGCCCATACTCAATAATAAATTTTTGCTGAAAAACAAAATGAATTCAAGCCTTTTGGGAGACCTTAACAGTTTAATTTGAATAGTGATAGATCAAGCAGATAAATGTAGTTAACACATACAGAGTGCTTACTCCCTATCAGACGCTGCACTAAACATTTTACATGCTTTACCTTAGCTGCCTCTTATCGCAGTTCTAGGAAGTAGATACTATAATTAACCCAATTTTATGGAGGAGAAAACTGAGACACAAAGACATTTGGTGTCTCATTGGAGACCATGCAGCTAGTGAGTGCTGGAGTTGGGATTTAAATACAGGCAGTCTGATCCTAGAGTCTGTGCTTTTAATCAATACACTATGCTGCCTGTAGTCCAGAGTAAAGATGTAAAGTGTACCGATATGGTTTAGCTGTGTCCCCACCCAAATCTCATGAACTGTAGCTCCCATAACCCCCACATGTCAAGGGTAGGGTCAGGTGGAGATAATTGAATCATACTGTGCTCATGGTAGTGAATAAATCTCATCAGATCTGATAGTTTTATAAATGGGAGTTCCCCTGCACAAGCTCTCTTGCCTGCCACCATGTAAGATATGATTTTGCTTCTCCTATGACTTCCACCATGATTGTGAGGCCTCCCCAGCCATGTGGAGCTGTGAATCCATTAAACCTCTTTCCTTTATGAATTACCCAGTCTCAGATATGTCTTTATTAGCAGGGTGAGAGAGGATTAATACAGGTACTAATCTACAATTAACTTTGCAGGTGTACTTGTATTGTTTGTGCCCCAAAATACAGAATGCACATTTTGTTTCTACATTAAGTATGAGGGAAAATGCTCATGGAGAACTTTTTATTGGTCATATAAATAGAGCACAACATGGAAATGATGTAGATCATATAATTCACAGCAAAATAACATCAAACACCAAAAACAGTGAGGGAGAACACAGCATTAGGAATAAAAAGGGGATGTAGGAATAGATTTAAAGACATGAAAAATTATAAAGGAGCATAATTTGTAACATTATGCCAATACATTAAAATATGTAGATGAAATGAACTTTTTTCTAGGTAAATACAAATTACCCAAAATTGACTCAGGAGGGGTTAGATGATGAATATGCCAACAATCATCAATGAATTTGAGAAGATAATCAAAGATCTAGCCTTCTAAAATCCATCAAGTCCAGATGGTTTCATGGGCATGTTCTATTAAACTCTCAATGAACAGATAGTTAACTTGATGATTTGAATATTCCAGAGTATAGGTAAAAACAGAATGCTTCCAAAATCATTCTACAAAGTTACCATAACCTTGCACCAAAGCTGAATGAGAACCCTTATCCCCTAAAAAGAAAAAAGAACACAATTTTTATTTATTAATATAGATGAAATAAACCTTATATTAACATAAATAAATAATTCCAATCTAGCAGTGTATTTGTATAAAATAACATACATTAACCAAGTAGAGTTTGTTTTGAGAAATATAAAGTGTTATAAAGGTGGCATTCAAATCAGTGAGAGAAGAATGGACTTTTTGAATTGGTGTTGGGACAATTGGGTTCTCATTTTTGTCAGATCCTTACCTTACCCTGTGCACAAATACAATTTCCAGATGAAATGATAATCTAAACAACAGAGCTATACCTTACTAGAACATTTAGGGAACTGTATTGTGATTCTGGTGTATGAAGCCTCCCTTGGCAAGATGGGAAATCTAGAAACCATGAATGATAAGACATGTATTTGAAACTGCTTTAGAGAGAAAAACTCCATAAACAGTAGTCAGTCATCATAAATACTGGGTACTAGGAAGGTACATTTCTCTAACTGATACTATAGACAGTAAGTGATAAAGGCAACTTATGGAACAATATTTTTGCACTTAAAAGACAAAATTGATAATCCTCCAGCAAGCTTGATTGAAAAAAATGGGAATGGAGCAACAGAAAACACAAATAAACAATATCAGCAATAAGAAGAAGGCACAGAACAGTATCAGAGATGAAAATAAATAAAGGGTGACACTATTTGTAACTTTGTGCCAGAAAATTTGAAAATGCAGATGAGATGGACAATATCCTGGGAAAATATAAATTACTAAAAATGACTCAAGAAGTAGGGATTTAAAAAACAGGGCAAATAGAACCCCTGTGTGCATATACATGTATCTAGACAAAAATGCTGGTTACCTCTGGGGAACTGATTACTGGGGAAGGACACTGCAGGGTGGGGGAGGAGGGGGCACTCACTTTCTATTTTTTTTTGGAAAGCATTTTAGTTTTATTTTTTTTGTAGAGACTTTTTTTTTTGTAAGTCTCACTAGGTTGCCCAGGCTGGTTTTGAACTCCTGGCCTCAAGCGGTCCTCCTGCCTTGGCCTCCCAAAGCACTGCGATTTACAAGCATGAGCCACTTACTTTCTAAATACAATGCCTTATGCTTTCAATCATGTACAGTAACTATTAACTACTTTGTAAAACGGAAACGAAGATTGTCAGCGAACGACTCCACGGGAAGCCCTGGGAATAGGTAGCGGGCAGGCAAAAGCATGGATTTGGAATGAAATCCAATGGCCATGGAACCAGCCCTGATTATCAGATTGCCCCCCAGTTTTGAGGATCACACTGGCACCCTCCTGTCTCCCTCTCTTTCCTACACTGTGGACAAACAGCCTTGAGATTCCAGGGCGTATGTGAAGGAAAGCCGAGGAGGGCAGGGCCGCAGAAAGAACAAAGGAGACACAAGTTCAAATCCCTGCCAGGGTCTGAGACCTGCAACGTCAGACTTTGGGAGCGTCCCTTCACTTCTCCGGACCCCAAGGGTGGCCGCGCCTGCTCCGCGCTCACCCTTGGGGAGTGTAGGAGCCCACTGCTAAGTTGCTGAGCGAGTCGGAGCCCCAAGAGCTAGGGTCGAGGGGGTGGGGCGGCAGGCGCCTCTGCCGAGGCTGCAGGTAGGCACTTCCCCACCCCCGCGGCCCCCTCCTTCCTCCTTCCTCGCAGCTCGCACACCCACACAACCCTCGCCCGTCTCGGCTGGAGAGCTGCTTTCGGCGCCAGCGGGCAGCAGCGCGTCGTCAGCCAGCACAGCCGGCCGAAGACCAAGCCGGAGGGCTGGGGCTGCGCAGAGACCTGCACACCCGCAGCGCGGAACCGGGGGCGATTCCTATCTTTCTTTCATGCTTCTTTCTTTTTCTTAAAACCAGACCAAACCAAACTCAAAACTCCCCTGTTCACACCGCAACTTGGAGGAGCGGTGGAATGATTTGAAGGAACTGACGCAGAGGTTTTATTCATGAACCTTGAAGAAGTTCTGGGCAAGTGACTCAACAGGACCCTTGGGGCCCGGAGTAGCCCCAGCTCCCAGCGCTGGTTCAGTCTGGCAGTGCCCTCTGCCAGCCAACCCGCAGCTGCAGGTAGGGGTGCGAGACGCCCCCTGATTTTGCTTTGGGAATAATAATGACACTACCCATAGCTTGGACCCAGGTGGCCTCGCTCGGCGATTGTCCCCACCAGGTAAGCGCACCCCCCAGGGGTCTGCATTGGTCACCCGGGTGGGGACCTCGAGCTCCCGAGAAGTCAGTCCATGCTGTTTAGCCACAGGCAGGAGTGGGGAACTGGTAGGACAGAGCTTGCTTTTATCACAGGAAATTGTGGGAGACGGGAATGGAAGGCGGATTTAACATTTTTTATTTTTGCATTGACGCGTGGGGATGAGATGCGTAGGGGCCTGGATTCTTGTAGGAAATGGTTGCGGAGCGGGACTGGGCGATAGGTGTCTGGATTTTTGCAGGGACTGAATGGGGAGAAAGGTCGTTAATTTTTGCAGAAACCTGTGAGGAACTGGCGGTGAGAGGTTATGATCCTGAAAATGTGCACGAAATTGTAAAAAGTAGGCATCTAGGCATTTCTGCGAAATGATGGGAGAAGCACTTACCGCCCTGGTTTCACCTGACCCCCACGCTCGGCCTTCTGGAAGATGCCCACAGACACTGGCAATAATGGACGCCGGCACACTCTGCCGGCGCGGCCGGAGCCCCGGAGTTCAGTACCTCGGACAGTGCCCGCGCCCCACAGCCCAAGGCGCACGGTGAGCGCCGACAGCCAGGCTCCCTAGCCCCCGGCCACCGTTGCTCTCAGTTCAGGGCAGCTACGTAACACCGCCCCTAGCTCCGCGCCAGAAAGGGCTCTCGAATCGCAAAAGCAAACGTGTTCGATTTCTGATCTGCTCGTAACTGCTTCCCGTGACTGCAGAAGGAAGAGGCGGAGTGTAAAGATATCTCCCAAGCTTCCGCGAAAACTACAGCCAAACGGTGTGGCCTCCCTGGGTTTCGGAAGGTGTACCCAAACTTCTTTAAAAATCTAGCATTTATTAAGCGCTTACCCTGTGCTAAGGCCCCGTGCTAAGCCAGTGCACCACAAATTTGTGTCCTATGAATATCCCCATTTTACAGATGAGAAAACTGAAGCAAGAGAGGCCAAGTAACTTGTCCAGGTTTATGGAACTACCAAATGGTATGGCTGCGCTCTTAAACGCTGCCAGATTGCAGTGGTGGGAAGATATACTTGAGTGGAATTCCCTGCGTGAAATAGTTCTGAACTTGGGGTCAGAGCAACAGAGTTTAAATCAAAGCCGTAGCACTTACAAACGTGTGCCCTTAGACAAAATTACTAAATGTGTCTGAACTTCAGATTTTAACTATCTGTAAATACTTGATAATGCTTTCCTTGCAGAAGTGTCAGGGGAGGGTGGCCAAGGAGATAATATGTGTGGAAAGACTGGAAACTGGGAATTGTGGTTGAGTGTTACGGGCTGAAAGCAGGGAGCAGGTAATTAGAAGAGAAGGAGAATCGGTGGTGAACACTTCCCTCAGCACACTCCAAGGGGGCTGGACACAGAGCGGGGCTCAGTGGGAGGAATTCTGGATGAGCTTAGTTCAGTGTGTAATAGCCTCTTAGATTTTTTTAACAGGACTTTATAGAGAGTGTGGACATATTGCCTATCATTTGATCCTTGTAACAATCTTGTTAAGTAGGCAGGACTGGGGTTATTCTACTCGTTTAGGAAAATGATGCTTGCCTGAAATTACTCAGGTACTTAGTAGCAGAGCTGGGATTAGAATACAGATCTCCCACCTCTCTAGCTTATAATCCTTCCACATGGACTGGCACATCCTCAGGAGCTTGGATTATGGGGCATTTACAGCACTAAAGTGTATTTAGACAAGTACTATAAATACGTGACGTTGATGTTTTTTAAAACCATTTTGAAACCAGCAGTTTCATATGAATCAACCTCATAAACATTTATTGATTATTGATTTTGTTCCACAAAGAATTTAAAGCAGTTTATAAGGCTCCACAAGATGTCAGGTTTGCATATATTCGAAGTAGTCAAGAAAGCACAGGTGAAACAAGATTAAGGCTATAGCCACAGATAGAATGAATACAAATTATATATATTATAAAGTCCTAGAAACTTGCTCTGGTCTCTAAGTACTAGAAAGTGTATATCCAAGTCCTTTCTTGGAGGTCTAGGAACTTTGAAGATGTCTGCAAAAGTCTGTGGACTCTTCTTTTTTGTATAATTTCATCCCTTACCCTCTGTGAGATCTTCACTGTGCCAAACAAGGGATGTTTGGCTGGAAATACAATGTCAGTGTGACTCGAAGAAGGGGAATAAAGTGTATGACATTGTATCTGCTCTCAGGTAATTAAGTGTTAGTTACAAAATTTCTAATGGTTCACATGAGCACACCATACTTTAAAGTTTATATAAAGGTTTATATCCATTAGCTTATTTAGGCCTTCTAACAACTCTGAAGAGATAAGCAGCCATGAAGTGACAGGAAGGACAAAATGCTAGCATCATGATTTTATATACTATGTATTTTACTTTCATACACAAACCGGCATCCCTACACAGGCATGTTAAGTAACCTGAATGTTTGAATCGGGCCAATTGTAAGACTACGGAGAATGACAGAGCCTTTTCAAACTGAGCAGTGAATAATCCATCTTAAAACATTCAAAGAAAATTTAAAACACAGTGCCAGCCAAGCAAGACATGACTGTGGGCTACACTGGCCGTCAGACCTTTAATATGTAATCTTGGTCTAAATTACTCAGGCCAAGGATGTGAGATGGCATGGGAGTGAAAGACCCTGGATTCAGAGAGAGAAAAGTTTCAATCCCTGTATTTAAGTTTCCTGTTTCTAAACAAGGAAGATTGAACAAGATGGCTCCTCTCAGCTTAAAAAATATAAGACATCTTTAGTTTTGGGGACAATAAAATAATCAAAGGACTTCAGGACAAAGATAGCAAACATTTACATCTACTTATTGCCTCCATGAAAGAGGCGTCATTTTAATTTTTGACACTGGTGATATTTTAGTCTTCAGTATTTCCTCTCCAGCCCCTGTGCCATTGGCAAATATATTGGCCATCATTATAATGGAAATGCGTCCAACAGAAAACAGCCCAGAGAGGTGAAAGTTATGGCAGGGATGGAGTAGGGGTGGAGGGTTGGTGGGTAGAGACAAGGAGGACAGCAAGGGAGGAACCAGGCAAACTTTGCTCACTTCTCAGTTTACTCTTCTTATGATGCACATGAAAAAAACCCACATTATGGTTGCTAATTTTTTAAGACAAAAATATTCTGCCCAGAGCAGCCAAAGTGGATGGGATTTCAACATTTTCTAGGAATGCATCAGCTTTTTTCAATCCAGATTGTTTCTTTTCTCTCCAATAAACTTAGAGATCCTGTAAATCACTTAATAGTTCTAGTATTCCAATTGAACAATGAGATCACTTGGACACAGGAAGGGGATCACCACACACCGGGTCCTATTTGGGCGGGGCGGGGAATAGCAATAGGAAATATACCTAATGTAAATGATGAGTTAATGGGTGCAGCACACCAACATGGCACATGTATACATATGGAACAAACCTGCACGTTGTGTATATGTACCCTAGAACTTAAAGTATAATAAAAAAGTTCTAGTATTCCATGTTTTTAATATTTATTCACTGTGATGCATAATAGTAGATAAATTTTCAAATTAAGGTAAATTAGATTTTGGTTGACACTTTTGTCAAATGGACCGCTATTCAGTTCTACCTTTCAAACATCTCTCCAGCTTGAGTCTTTCTCTATCTCCCGGCTGTGCTGTTTCTGATCCTCTTCATCTCTCAGAGGCTCCTAGGCGACCCCCAAGCCTCCCAATCCATCTCCCACACTGTGGCCAATGATCATGTCATTCTCTTCCTTAAAATTCTTTAGTGGTTCCCTATTTCCACATAACAAACATCAAACTGCAGGACAAGGCTACAAGGAACTTGGAATCTGATTTCTGCCGACCTCCCCATATTTGCTTGCTCCGTCAGTGCACTTCCCAACCACCACCATGCACTAACCATCAAGTTCTTGAAATGTCCATGTTCTGTTACTTTTTGCCTTTGAACTTGTACTTACTCCTGAGTGTAAGGACTTCCCCCTTTTGGTTCAACAAATTTCCACTCATGTTTTTCAAGTCCTGGCTCAGTTTTATTCTCTTTGTGAGCCCTTTCCTAATCTGCACCCCGAGACCCTCCTGGCACTCACATCTCCTTGTTTTATATTTGTCTTCCATTCCGGGACTTATTAATTACTTTGCACTACAATTATGTCATGTAGAGGCTAAGAATGTGGACTTTGGGGTTAGACTGCCTGGATCTGAATTCCAGCTCCACAACATATTGCCTGGGTGATTTGAGGTAAGTGACTTTACCTTCCTGAGACTCAGTTTCATTTTTCATAAAATGGGGATAATAATAGTACCCACCTCATAGTATTACTGTAAAGATTAAATGACACAATGCATATAAAGTGTTCAGCACATTGCTTGGCACATGGCAAGCATACCATAAATGTTTATTACTGTCATTAAAATATATACCCACCTTCCTTCTAAATTGTAAATTACTTGGCAGCCATTCCTGAATTTTATACCTCTTTATCCTTAACACCTAGCCTGGAGTAGGTAATCGATACATGTTTGATCATGAATGAATGAGCAAGTAGATAGTTGATATATGTTTGATCATGAATGAATGAATGAGCAAGTAATGCCAGTGTTTTAGTCAAGGTTTACTTGCTTATAAGTAACAGAAGTTAATTCAAGCTACCATAAACAAAAACATGCTGACTTATTGGAAGTCTTCTAAGGTGTTCATGGACTCCAAAGACAGTTGAAACTTCAGAGGATAGAGGAAAAGTACTCTCTCCCTGCCTCTCATCTCAGCATCTCAGTGTGGTTACTTCATTCTTCTTCCTCTGCACGTCACCTTTTCTGCTTCTCTGCCCTTGTGGCTAACCCACAAATGCAACTCTTACAACCAGAGTTCTCTACAAACAGCCCAGCATAACTGGTGTTTCTCAGTCTCAATTTCAAAATCCACCCAAGGTTGAGTCAGCCCTGCGCATGGGGCAGGTCAAATAATATAAACCATCAGCCTCACTCTGTGTGCAGGAGAAGGCAAGGATAATATCAGAAAGAAAGAGTCACTGTAGCTTGTGAGAGTCAGAGTCATTCATTGATTCCTGAATGACCATGGGCAAGTCACTTCTTCACTCTTGACTTCAGTTTCCTCATCTGTGAAATGGTAGAAAAACCTACCTGACAGGGCATTTCATGGTTCATGGGAGGCAGTTAACATCAGTCTGGAGCAAAAACATACGTATTAACAGTTTATTGGGCTATAAACCCTGGGGAGTAGGAATGAAGGAAAATGAAAAGTGACGCAAGGGAGGAGAAAGAGCAAATACAAGGGAATACATTATTGAGCTAGCCACAGATTCATCGCAAATGCGCTGATTATTCTGTCTTACGGAAATTGTATAATCTATTGCATCTTGGAAAAGGCAATTGGGTGAGAAGAGGGAGAAGCGTTTACGTAACATCTCTTTCCCATCCTCTATTTTCTATTGGTCAACATCTGTTCTACAAAGGATTACTCCCTCATACTTATTGGTTGAGTAACCTGGTTTTTCCAGGCAACTGCTGGAGAAAGTCAGGACAGGGTCAGTTTCTTCTGGTCAGCAGAAACCAGGTGTGGGGGTTCACCATTTGTAGCAGACAACAGCAGCAGTGACCTGACACTAAGACTGTGGGAA